AGCATCGCCTCCTACGAAGTGCCGTGGGTAGAAAAGTACAGGCCGAACAAGGTCTCCACTTTCGTTGGCAACGACGATGCCGTCTCCAAGTCCATATCTAGAGATGGCAACATGTCCAATCTCATCTTATCGGTACACTTAGATTTATTCTTTAATTTCTCTTTCTTAGTAATAATTTTCAGTGATTTTTGAGTTGGGCTTATGTTCATATGCCTTAATACAAATTGGGTCTTCAACTATAGAATGATTTAGAATTATTGCGGTTAAAAGGGATTTGATTAATTTTGTAAAAAAAAAAAAATCATAATCACATCTATAACAATGAAGTTTTGCTAAATGGTTATCGTATCTCCAGATTAGTTTCATATTTATTCACAATTTAGTTAAATTCTGTGCAAAATTGAGTAAAAATTTATATTGCCGTGAACATTTTCCTGTTTTTAGCAGTGTCCTCTGGAACTGGTAAAACTACTAACTATTGGCACTTGTTTTGGAGCTTAATGCATCAGTCTAAGGCATTTTAGTTTTTCAAAGCTTGAATTTCTTGCTGACATGATTCATTATCATTTTCCTTGGCTAGAGGTAAAGATGTTATTAGGAACAAAATTAAAATGTCATTTTCCTTATTAATAAAGTTTCCTTATGTTGCAGATGACCTTATCGTTTTTGCAGATGGAAAGGCATCCTCTTTAGCTGCAATTGATGATATTTTGAAGAGCTTCTATTCTGTTTCTGGGTTGAAGGTAAATTATGCCAAGTCAGAACATTTTTGTTGTGGGATTCCTGCTAGTGAAAGTACAGCACTTTACCTCAGTTTATGGATCAAGATTGGCACACTCCCTGTCAGGTACCTAGGAGTACCCTTAATCGCAGGAAGGCTAACAGGAAAAGTCCTAAAATCATTGGTATCTAAGATTTCAGACAGAATGAATTCTTGGACATCGAAACACCTCTCTTTCACTGGGCAACTGCAATTAATTTTCTCTGTTATTCAGGGAGTCACAACCTTTTGGTGCTTAACTTTTATTCTGCCTAAAAAAGTGATCAAGGAAATTGAAAGACTTTGCAGTGCTTTCCTAAGGAATAATTCTACTGATAGTGCAAAGGGAGCTAATATGTGTTGGCAATCTGTTTGTTCCCCTAAATAGGAGGGAAGCTTAGGCCTTAAAAGCCTTAGTCACTAGAACATGGCATGCATATTAAGATTCATTTGAATGATCTTTGCTAAGGTGGGCTCTATATGGGTTGCTTGGGTTAAGGAGTACCT